TTCATCTTCTGCTAAGTCCTGCTCCAGCCTTTGGGGTTCAGCCCACTATTAGGGTAGAAGCTGCATCTTGATCAGGACTTTCCAAAAGATATAACCTCGGGGATTTGGTTCAGCTCACTGTAGAGGTGGTAGAGTAAAATTCTGCTGCTATAACTCCTGATTATGTTCACTGACCTCAGGATGGTTGTACTGGATTTTTGCTGGTCTACCCAGGACATTGAAGGAGGTTCCCAAAGTGCTGGAGTCTTCAAATAACACCTCTCTTACAGAGTTTTCAAGAACTGGAGGCTATATCCAAAACTTAGTGACAGAAAGGGACTTCCATTGATTTCACTGGGCTTTGAATCTGGCCCTCGCTATTTTATTAATGGGATTTGCCTTGTGGAATGGCTTATTTGCTGCATGGCTGGTGGAGTTTTAAGGCTTCAGAGACCATCATCTGTGCCAGAAACTGCCTCTAAATGTGAGCACTCTCAAAGGTCAGGGTTGGAGAGCGCTGAGGATCCAGTACTCCGGGCTGGGCTCACGTCCAGCAAATGCATTTTAGGCTTTAAGCTTCAGCAGGGTATGTTTAAGGATATTGTCAGTATTGCATTTATGAGGAGGAGAGTGAGAATTGTTATTGACTCTTTTCCGACTGTTGATATATAAACATCTGCCGTGGGAAAACACACCTCAGTAACCACAGGCAAATTGTGAGGGACAAAAAAAGATGCTTTACCCAAGCTGAGCGTGTGAAGTAAAGAGAGTCTCACAGAAACATCTGCCCCTCGGGGGTTTCTTTTTCCCTCTCTATCCGCAGATGTATCTATCTTTTCTATACCAAACAGCCCTAAACTTGTGGCCACAGTTCAATTTACGTAACGGTCAGGAGACCACCCAGAACCCAACGGGGAAGCAGGGAAGAACAGATCATATTTGGAAGCGGACACTCCTGAAGACCTACCCGTGTCTCCAGTACACTGCTATTTGTCCAGTCATTAATGCCGCATACACGATTACCTGTTCGGCCACCCTTGGGACCGTGCGCACACACACCCCCCTCCACCCCCATCATCAACAGCCTGGGAACAAAACCATCAGCCATTCTTTGCCTAAAAACTAAATTTCCAATTCTCCCAGGGACTGCTCTAAATTTTGTGAAGAAAAATCCCCCAAAGAGAAAAGTTAACTAGTGTATGAAAGATACTAAATGTTTAAAAATATGCTGGCAGCAGTTATATAAGCTCTTTTCTGTTCCAAAGTACATATCGGAAGGTTATAACTAGGACAGTGAAAATGTAAAATAAATATAAATCGCCAGCTTGGAAGAAAAAATTATGTTCATCCCACAGTCTTAAAACCATTCACGTGCAGTGATTTTTTTTAAAGTTTTCTAATTTTGTATTGTTTTGTAAATTATTTATAAAGTGTTGTAATGCTTCTTATATTAATTTTTTTATAAACAAATTTTTGCTATAAGGCATAAATGGTGCCTGAACAGATTCTTAGGAAGATAAATGACGTGTGAGTCATACATCTTTGGGGGGCCATAAATATTTTGTTTTATTTTGTTACTGGCAACATTTCTGGTTTCCATTTGTAAACAATTTTCATTTATTGATTACATTTGAATACCTTTTAATTTTGCATGTGACTAAACGATAGATTGCTACCAGCAAATGAAACAAAAGTCTCTTCAGTCATATGTGAAGGTTTAATGGTTTTCCAATTTATTGATCATTGAATTTTTTTAAATATATATATATAAAATTATT